GGCACCGCAATGTCCTTCATGTACCTCTTCGAGCACTGGCCGCGTTTGTTGCGGCCCTAGACACTTGGCCAGGGGTCCGCCAAACGTCCTTTTGTAGAGCTCGTGGTTTATCAGGCAATACCGGGCGGCCTGTACGCGGAGCTTCTTGGCTTCTTTTTTGTCGAGTGGGAGTGTTCCATCCTGCAGATAGGATACAAATTGGTTGCGCCAGTCCCAAGTCAAATTTAAAGAGAGTACCTCAGTGTGATCAATGGCTGAATGGAGGAGGGTGACCACGCTTTCTTTGTTGAAGTTTTTAGTGGCTGCGGCTAATTTTGCTAAGCCGTCTGCCTCGACGTTCTGTGCTCTCGGAACTTGTTCGAAGCGGCACTCGTCGAACTCGGTCATTAACCTGTGGATTTCTGACTGGTATTTTTGCAACCTCTGCTCCTTGATTTGGTAAGTCCCAGTGACCTGGTTCACCACGAGCTGAGAGTCGCAATGGAGAACGAGTCGTCGAGCTCCATACTTGATGGCTAGTTTCAAACCTGCAATAACAGCCTCGTACTCGGCTTCGTTGTTAGTCATCTCGGGGCATCGTATGGACTGGTGAATTGTTTCGCCCGTGGGGACCTCGAGAACGAGTCCCAGTCCTGATCCCGAGGCGTTAGCGGCGCCATCAGTGTAAAGAGTCCATAGGTCGGCATTGGAGGGGGCACGGCGTGCCTCCAATTCCGCCTCTGGTAGTATCTCCGCGCTGAAGTCGGCTATGAAGTCGGCAAGTACTTGCGACTTGATGGCGTTTCTTGGGTGATATGAGATATCGTGCTCACTGAGCTCTATGGCCCATCGGGCGAGTCTGCCTGATAACTCAGGCTTGTGTAGGATACTTCTCAAGGGAAAGGTCGTCACTACCTTTATGGGGTGGCATTGGAAATAGGGTCGGAGCTTCCGTGAAGCTACGACCAATGCCAAAGCTAATTTTTCAAGGTGTGGATACCGTGTTTCGGCGTCCACTAAGGTTTTGCTAATATAGTAAATAGGAGATTGCGTACCTTCATTTTCACGAACTAGGACTGCACTGACGGCGGCCTCTAATACGGCCAAATATACCAGCAGTGGCTCGCCTGGATTTGCTTTGGCTAGCAGTGGCGGTGAAGATAGGTACGCTTTCAATTTCCTTAGGGCCTTGACGCATTCCTCATTCCACTGTAACCCTTTGTCCTTTCTCAGCACATTAAAAAACTTATGGCATCTGTCGGAGGACCGTGAGATGAACCTAGACAAGGCGGCTATTCGCCCCGTCAACTTTTGCACCTGCTTTTTGCTATTCAGTATCTCGGGTATCGCGTCTATCGCCTTGATCTGATCTGGATTGACTTCGATACCTCGTTGTGATACGAGAAACCCTAAGAATTTTCCTGATGCCACGTCGAAGGCGCATTTCTCGGGGTTCAGTTTCATCCCGTATCTTCTCAATATCTCGAAGGTTTCTTTCAGATGGTCGATGTGGTCCTCTTTTCTTGCCGACTTTACCAGTATGTCGTCGATATAGACTTCCATAGTCTTACCGAGCTGCTTTTTGAACATTCTGGTGACCAGTCTCTGGTACGTAGCCCCTGCATTTTTGAGCCTGAAGGGCATTACCTTGTAGCAGTAAGTCCCTTGGTGGGTTATGAAAGTTGTCTTCTCTTGGTCCTCCTCGGCCATCATGATTTGATTGTAGCCGAAGTAGGCGTCTAGGAAGCTCAGTAGTTCATGTCCTGCAGTGGCGTCGATCAGTTGGTCGATGTGGGGTAGTGGGAATGAATCCTTTGGGCATGCCTTGTTCAGATCAGTGAAATCCACACACATTCTCCACTTCCCGTTTTTCTTTTTGACCATGACAACATTGGCGACCCACTCGGGGTACTTTGATTCTCTGATGGAGCCATTGGCCAGTAGCTCGTCTACTTCCTTACTGACCGCTTCATTGATAGCGGCGTTGAATTTCCTCCTCATCTGTTGCACGGGCGGATGTAGTGGATCGACATTCAGCTTGTGGTTGGCGATGTCTCGCGGGATTCCCGGCATATCTGAATGGGAAAAGGCGAACAAATCTGCATGGTTAGTTAAGAATTCACAATACTTACTTGGGTTGGCGAGACCTTGCCCGATATAGGCTTTCTTCGTAAGATCGGTTTCGTCCAGTTGGACTGGCTCGAGATCTTCGACCGTTGCTTTATAGGCTTCCACGACATCGGGGTTTTTGATGGCGTCCGTTGTCGGGTTGACCTTATGTCCCCGACACGGCTAATTGTTATGCCTCCTTGCTCGCCCCCTTTAGCTGTTGGGTGTGGGCGCAGTCTTGGGCTATTTTGTAGCATTATTGTGCGGTGCGTGGCTCGCCTCGAATACTGAATACTCCTCATGGGGTAGGGAATTTGATCACTTGGTAGAGGCTTGAAGGGACCGCTCTCATGGCGTGTATCCACGGGCGTCCTATGATGATGTTGTACGCTATTTCTTGGTTCATTACGTGGAAAGTTGTTTCCAGCGTGACTCCTCCCGCTAGGAGGGGTAGTGCTATTTCTCCGGACGTCCGTTCCACTGCATTGTTAAAACCGGTTAGTGTTATGCAGCGCGGTATTACCCTATCCTCGAGTCCCATTTGTACGAGGACCCTTGGGTGGATAATACAGGCGCCACTTCCGTCATCGATCATGACTCTTTTAACATCCGTATCAGCGATACGTAAAGTGATAACTAAAGCATCATAATGAGGGAAAGACAAACCGTCGGCATCAGACTTATCGAAGGTGATACTATCTTCGAAGTCGTCATACCGTTCATGGGCGATGGTCCGCTTTAGTCTATGTATGGTGGCGAGCTTGACGTGATTGATCACTGACTCGTCGCCGCCTCCGACGATCATGTTTATTGTGCGCGCTGGGGAAGGTGGCTTCGGCGGCCCGTGGGGTTGTTCCCGTCCGCGTGCAAAGTTGATTTTCCCTTTGTCACTGAGCAACTCCCTCAGGTATCCCTGGTTCAGCATCCTGACCACCTCTTGCCGTAGGCCTATGCAGTCTTCGGTTTTGTGTCCTCGTTCCTGATGGAACTCACATAGGGCGTTTGATTTCCTTGTGGCAGGGTCTGATTTCATCTTCTGCGGCCAATGCACCTTGGTGCCCAGCTTCTCCAGTGCGTACACTATTTCTGAAGGAGATACACAAAAGTTATGGGCGGTTAATAAAGGGGGCGTACCTCTTTCATTTCGAAGTGGGGCGACGTGTTGCTGTAGCGCGTCTGTATGCCTTGGTGGCGGATGGGAGGATCTGGTGTATGGCTGATGTCAATCTCTGTTGGAGCGGGGGAGTTGTTCTCGTCGTCCTTCGTTCCGTCGATCTCTCCTCGTTTCCGAGTGTATCNCCCTGGCCTCCGCTTTCTTCGTGCCTGCATGGGCTGTGACAAACTTATCCGCCATTTCCTCGAACGTTGATATTGCCTTAGCCGGTAGCTGAGAGTACCATGTTAAGGCCCCTCCTGTCAACGTCTCGCCAAACTTCTTCAGCAGTACCGACGGTACCTGTTCTTTCGATAGGTCGTTGCCCTTCACAGTGGTGACGTAGTGGATCAGATGATCCTCGGGATCTGTGGTTCCGTCATATACCCTCAAGTAGGGTGGCATCTTGAAGGTTTTTGGGGTGGAGTGAGGGGTAGCTTCTTCAGTGTATGGTTGTTCAACGAACCTTCCCACGTCGCGTTTTGGTAGCAACTTGGGAGCACCGGGGATCTTGTCGACCCTCTCCTGATGTTCCTTCATCTGACCGCGGAGCGCCTTGTTTTCATTTTCCATTTCTTCCATCTTCTTTAGGATGGCTGTTAGCGTGCCATCGTTGGTCTGTGTCTCGATGGGTTTGTTATTCGCTAGTGTAACTTCCGGTTCGCTCACGGCAGCAATGGTACCTACCGTTGGTGTACATCCGATGTTACTTTGTGGTGACCTCTCAACCAAGCCACTTAGAGTGCTTGTTAGCCATCTTTCCAGTAGCTCTTTGACTGCTGAGGGTGCTTCCGTAACCGCAGATGTGGAAGCTCCTTTTTCGTGCAAGATCGTCAGACCTTCGGATGGGGAAGGTGAGATCTCTGCACCCGGTGTGATGCTAGGGGTTTCATTCAGGATGCCATCGTCACTGGCCTCGTTGAGAGGGCCAAGGAGATTGGTAGTGACACCCAATATAGCTTTCGATCTTGTATTATTTTCGGCCATTTTCTGTGTTTTTTTTGTTGAAGTGTAGAGGGTGGTAGTTGGTTGATCTCTAGGTGGATACTATGGTTTTGATTCTCGAAATTCCCACAGACGGCGCCAAATTGTTTGGCTCAAAAGTTAACAATATACTTTGTAAGCTAAAAAACAATCAAAAGTAGAAAAAGGATAAATCGTAATCAAATATAATAATCCTAGAGATGCAAAGATGATAATATTGTTGTAGATCTAGTATTGCAAAGAGACAGTATGAACTCAATAAAATATGTTCGTTTGAAGTAGAGATAGAGAGAGAAAGCCAGAAAAATGAGAGAATTGTATTAGATCAGATGCCCTTTTTACCATGTGAAGGTCTCCTTTATATAATAGGAGACCTTCCTCGAAAGAATCAAAAAGTTACAAAGATAGGTAACGTCTTCCTAGTGAAGACATTGAGTCCTAACGATGTCGCTTTTGCCCCCACGGCCGAGTCGTACCCGCTACGTTGGCAGGCGTACACTTATTGGGCGTACCTACTGGCGTAGAGATGCTGAGGGTCAAATTTGACCCTATACATTATGCTTTCTCGTACAATACTCTTCAAGACAATTGACTTTGTGGAAATTATAAGACAATAGTGCTAAGACTAATGTATTGTAACTAAGCCTTTCAGAATTCGGATTTAATGGGACTGCCAAGATAATGGTCAGAATATTTCTCAAACATCAATATGATACGAGATTGAGAAAATAAATGAGGAAAAGACTGAGTTACATGAAGAAGATACATATAGGTATACAAACACTACCAACCAAACAAAAAGCTCAGCTAGATATAATAACAATTACGTAGTAATAAACTACACAAAGGGATCACCAAACAGGTCTGGCTCACCAACCCATCAATGTTCTTCTTACTTTGTCTACAATCCGATTTCTACCAACCATAGTTGACATGTCAATATTACAGTTATCGTCTAACAGGATTCTGTAAACTTCCCAATCACGTTCTGTTGTACAATGCCTTCCGATCTCCGCCTACAAAATAACATATAAAAGTTCATTGCAATTTAACATGTTCATTAGCCAGAGGCCTAGACAGCTAGACTGAATGTAGGTTGTTTAAAGATTTCATGCCTCTAGGTTCAGTGTTCTTAGGATGTTTGTAACTTTTTTGAGGCTTACTAGGAGTACAAAGGCAATCCATTGTCTTCAAATCTTCACACAGAATCAGTACAGTTAAAATGTGCAACTTTTTCTTTCAAACACTTCTTTTACCAGCATATACTTACCGAGAAGATGCAGATCCCAAGATTCTTTAATGCCAGTGTGACATCATAGAAAACACGGGGTCTACCGTTTCCAGATAGCTCAATAGGATTTGCAACCAAAAGTTCAGTATCTGGTCCACGATTTGCTATTATAACGCGTAAAGGGTGAAGCATTTCCACTTTCAAGCGAGAACAAATTGCATCTTGTTTCTCTGGATCTACAATCTTTCTTCCATCCTTCTGCCGGATAAAAAGGTCTAATTCTCGTTGACCCTTATTAAATGGTGAAAACCGACCAAAAGAAATCTACATGGAAAAGAAATCAAACTATCAGCATAGTTTTCCTTTTGATCAGAGAAAGTAAGATCGACTATTAGAATTCTTCATTTCATGTTTTCTCTTTGTGCCATCCATTACACAATTACATGTAAAACTCTAAACTGGGGGCGAAATAATGATCTTTAAACTCTAAACTCTAAACGGGAATAAAGCATTTATCTCCAAATGAGTTTACCCTTATTTTGCACTTAGCAAAAACAAAAATTTACATTGCACTACTTTAATGTCTATGAGATCAAAGTAGCCTCATTATCTGCAACAAAAATATCCTTATTTTTTATTTCTTTTATTTTGTGAAATAAGCACACTTGACGCATCTGGATTTGTAGATAGTAGGGGGAATAGCCTTCCGAGCTGTTAGAGCTCCCAGTACTGGGTAAAGAAGACAATAAAACCTCAGCAAAGCATATTCCTAGATAAAATCCAGAATATCTTTGAACTTGCAATGAAGAAACCATAATTGTGTCAATCATCTACATTATGATGCAATAAGTCTATGGACTTCAAATTCATTAATATCAGTAAGAACCAAATTCAAGTACACCTAGCCATAAATTAGATAATTTGCAACTAAAGCAACAAAAAATAATGAGGAATCGATAAGTAGAAAACTGTAAATCCAAAAGTCAATACCTGAATACTGAAGTCTTTCAATGTCCTCATAATGTCATAAAGAAAACCCTTGTGATCAATGCAACTAATCTGAAGCAACGTATGACCAGGGCTCAGGGAATTATCTATTGTCACACTAGCCTTCTTCAACTTTGTCATATCTGAACTAAGAGCTTGTGCATGAAATTCGTTATCTCCGATTTTGCACCTAAATAATTCCTCAGCAACAGATGGAGCAAGAGAAGAGATATACTGAAGGTTGTCATACTTAGGGCCAGCTAACTGAAGCTCAAAATCACATGATTCGCCCAAAACAGCACGCAACTGCTCATATGTTTCATCTTGCCTAGCTTTCGTATGTAAGAGCTCTCTGAACATGAAATGAGATATGTTAAGATTCACTTCTTTTCGAACATCTTAAGAATAATGAAAGAAAACAGCATTATGGATTAGAATAAGATCCTTAATATATGAAGTACTAAAGCAAAAGTCCCCTGCACATTCTAATTCAGATTTACATAAACCCAAATACACTAGAAATAATTGCTTGATATTGTGGGGCCCATATTAAATAAATAAAGAAAAAAAAAACTAAAGGAAAAATGTGATTGGTGGAAAAGAAAGCAATGGTAGGCGGCAATTGGTTTTGATAGAACTATTGGTTTTGGTATTTGCAATTTGCAGTATTCAACGGTGGAGGCTTCTATATAAGGAGCTTCAATTCTCTTTATTTCAGTACACCAAATCAGAGAGAGCGCAATAGAGCGTAATCCACAGATTGTAGTCTGTGAGATAAATAGTAAGTGGGAATAATATTGTAGTGAGCTGTTTTAAATAAAGAGTGTTATTTCTTTCGAAGTTGTAGTAGTCTCTTGATACTACTAAGTTATAATATTATAGTGGTAATATTGCTCTGCTCGGGTATTGTATTTTACCCCGTTAAAATATCTGGTGTCATTGTTACTCTCTTGTGTTATTGTTATTTACCGTGGGTATTATTCCTAGGCGGGATTTATTTATTCCCAACAACGTGGTATCAGAGCCATGGCGAATAATGGTCCACTGTCTTTTCAGTACCCCCGTCTCACAAAAGATAATTACGAAAAATGGTGTCTACGTATGAAAGTCATTCTTGGCTCCCAGGATGTGTGGGAAATCGTAGACAGAGGATATGCCAAACCCGATAATGAGGAAGCTCTGCCTCAAAATGAAAAAGATGTCTTGGCAAAGACAAGGAAGAAGGATCAACAAGCCCTCACGCTCATCCACCAATGTTTGGATGATGTCATGTTTGAGAAGGTGGCAGCATCTGCCACCTCAAAGGAAGCTTGGGAGATTTTACAAAATTCTCTTTAAGGAGTTGACAAGGTGAGGAAGGTAAAACTTCAAACTCTAAGGGCTGATTTTGAAGTTTTAAAAATGAAAGAATCCGAATGCATTTCGGATTATTGTTCAAAAGTGAAGGCTGTTGTGAATCAATTAAGAAGATACGGGGAGGACATAAAAGATGTCCGTGTGGTAGAAAAGATCCTTCGCACTTTAACACCTAAATTCGATTTTGTGGTGTGTGCTATTGAAGAGTCTAAAGATTTAGACTCAATAATGGTGGAGCAATTGGAGGGTTCTTTACAGGCCCATGAAGAAAAGATCAAGCGGAGACAAGAATTGCCATTGGAGCAACTTCTTAAAACTCAGGCATCTTTCAAGGATTATGGAGGTGAAAAAAGCTATCGAGGGAATGGATGAGGACGAGGCCGTGGCGGTCATGGACGAGGAAGAAGTAATGGTAACAACTTCAACAATGAAGTTAAAATCCACCAAGCATTCAGAGGTCGTGCTCGTGGACAAAGAGGAGGAAGAGGACATGGCTACTACCAAGAAAATAATGGACAAAGGTATGCCAAATCAAAAATTGAGTGTTATAATTGTCATAAATTTGGCCATTACTCTTGGGAATGTCGTAGCAATGTTGAAGAGAAAGCTAACCTTGTTGACGACAAAAAAGAAGAAGATGAGTCAACGTTATTGCTGGCACTCAAGGAAGAAGACAGGGATGATTGCAGCTCGTGGTATTTGGACAATGGAGCAAGCAATCATATGTGTGGATGCAAAGAAAAGTTTGTGGAGATCAATAAAATGGTGAGAGGTAATGTGTCCTTTGGAGATACCTCAAAGATTCAAATCGAAGGGATAGGTACGATTCTGATCTCCTGTAAAGATGGTAGTCACAAGCTAATTCAAGATGTTTATTATGTGCCAAAATTAAAAAGTAATATTTTGAGTTTGGGCCAACTTCTTGAAAAGGAATATGACATCCACATGAAAAATATGCATCTTTGGCATAGAGATTCAAGTAGAATTCTAATTGCTAAAGTGCATATGGCAAAGAATAGATCATTTTCTCTGAATCTTAAAATAATTAATGCAAAGTGTTTGAAGGCTAATGTGCAAGATGAATCATGGCGTTGGCACATGCGATTTGGACACTTGACTTTTGAAGCGCTCAAATCAATGGGAGAAAAGAATATGGTACATGGGATACCATCAATCAACCATCCAAATCAACTGTGTGAAGCTTGTCTTCTAGGAAAACATGCAAGGAGGAGTTTTCCAAAGGAGGCTATGTCAAGATCAACCAAGCCGCTCCAGCTTGTTCACACTGATGTGTGTGGACCAATCAATCCACCTTCTTTTGGTAAAAGTAGATACTTTCTGCTTTTCATTGATGACTTTAGTAGAAAGACTTGGGTTTATTTCTTGAACCAAAAATCTGAAGCTTTTGCTGCTTTTAAAAATTTCAAAGTACTTGTTGAGAAAGAAAGTGGCTATGAAATTAAAGCTCTAAGGTCCGATAGAGGAGGCGAATTCACTTCAAACGAATTTAATGACTTTTGTCAGTCTCATGGAATTCGTCGCTCTCTGACGGTACCTTATTCACCCCAACAAAATGGAGTTGCAGAGAGAAAGAATCGAAC